TGTGTTTGGGTTTTTTTTTTTGTTTTTTTTTTTTTTTTTAACTTCTGCAACTTTCAAGCTTAGTTAAACTGAGATTTTGTGAAAAGCTCTCACTGCGGCTAAAAGGTTTCCATCAAATCTGCCTTCCGGGATTGCTAACCCACGGCTGAGCGTCACCCTTCACCCGGCACTTCTCAACCCTTCTGGTTTGGCACCGTGTCCTGCCCATCTTTTCAATGGCACGCACCACGAATAGCGGGAACACGGCGACAGCGTGGGTTTGGATGCTCAACAGCATGTCCTAACCACTGAAATGTGAGGCTGAGCAGCCACGGGGAGAGGGATTTGAATTTGGTGACTGCAGGGGGCTGCAAGCCTTGCTTTATTTCCATCAGCCGAGCCTCCTGCTTTTAAAAACAAGCCGAAGGCGTAGGGCCGGCAGGCAGGGGTTCGTTTCACAAAGAATCATAGAATCATTAAGGTTGGAAGAGACCTCCAAGATCATCGGGTCCAACCGTCGACCCAACACCCCCATGCCCACTAAACCATGTCCCTAAGCGCCTCATCCACACGCCTTTTAAATACCTCCAGGGATGGTGACTCAGAGTCAGAAGACCTCTGGCAGCCTGAACTGAGCTGAACCCAACTCTCCACTCAGACGCAGGATGCAGCGATAACAAATTTCCCGTCTTTGCCCCCTCCCAGCAAAAAACAGCTGTGATCCAGTTTCCTTCGAGGGATATGGATTTCGGAGGGTTGTGCTGAAGTAGCTCTCCAGTGGGAAATCACGGAAAGGGAGATCACGGACAGTCTCTGCCCTCAGCCCATGAGTTTAAGCCAGGCAAAGCCGCTGCTGCTTTGAAAGGCAGGTGGGGGGGGGCCTGTGCCGGCTGCCGAAATCGCAGAAATCCCCACACAGAGAGGGGGAAAAAGCCGATCTCCAGAATGAAATTCCTTTAAGAGTAAAGGATCAGCGCGAAGTCAGACCTCGGTGCCGGCGCTGACAGAGCTCCTCCTGCCAGCAAGCCTTGTCTTTGCCGTGATAATTTCTGTTACAGCAATAAATATTAACAGATTGTGGAGTGTTTCTTCGTTAAAAAAAAATCAGCTTTTTCACTTTGCCCTCCAACGTGGCAGGCTGAAGTGTTAATAAAGAAAGGAAATCGCCTGGAAACCATTTATCTTCATAATTTTGTGGGAATGACTGGTCGTCTGGGGGAAATACTTTGAATTAGAATGAAAGGGCAAATTCTGAAGTTTCATTTGAAATGAAATGTAATGGAAAAAAAACCCCAACCCACCGAAGAAACCACCTCGCCAACCAAACCCCATCTTTCTGTAATACCAAAATACCGTTTCCATTTCTGTCGCTTGTTAGTTCTCTATTTTATTTAAAAATAAAATAAAGGTAGTTTCACACTGAGAATGAAATAGCGTTCTTAATCAAAATGTTACCACCTGTATGCTGTTTCTTTCAAAGAAAAATGTTATTAAAGTCAACGAAAGCTGATTTTGTTATTAAAGATGGTCCAGAAAGGAACTTGCCGGAACAAGGATGTGCCCGTTAGAGACGTATCCCAACCGCCGCAGGCAGCCCCGGTTACGATATTCCGCACCGTTCTCCGCCAAATTACTCTTAAAATGAAGAGATTCCTGTTGAACATGGGATTTTAAAAAAGCAGTGAGCTGGAAATTTCACAGTCGACTTCGGAAATGAATGGGGGGGAAAGGAAATTAAAAGTATCTAACACGGTAACAGAAAGATAGCCTAAAAGGAGGCTCGGTTTCCAGAGCTGCTGTCTGCCTTGGGACCTTTTGCCCTGGATGAATTGGGTGGGTTTGTTTGGTTTAAGTCTGAATTTGGTTTAGGAAACATGTTGGGAAAACAACAGGTCTCCCGCCGATTTATTTATTGCCTGTTTTGCGACATGTAAGCTCAACCGTTTGCACTGGAAGCCGTAACGTTTGGTAGGAAAAGGATCTTTACGTTTTCCCTTACCCACCAGGCATCAATGATGTAAAGATAAAAATTCCCTTCCGCACATCAGACCACGAATCCGAAAAGATCTCTTTTTTAGTTTTCTTCCTGCTGGACTAAACCACTTGTCAGCTCTGGTATTTTCCAGATCTGATTCTCTCCCATTGAGCCTCATTTTTCTTGAAGTGCCTAAAAATGGGGAGCGTGTTCCCCGAGGGTTTAGCTGTGCCAAAGAGGATGCCGAACCCCTCCGGCCTCTTCTGCAGCGCCGTGGCGTTGCTGGACTCACTTCCAGCTTGTGATCATCTATTGCTGCAGATCTATTTCTGCCGAAGGAACCGCTTCCGAGCCAGCTGTTCCCCATCCGCTTCTCCCGATTATTCCTGCCCGGGTGGGCGACCCTGCCCTTGTCCTTTCTGCGCCGCAACGGATTGTTCAGCCCTTTCCTCCAAATCCTCGAGGTCATTTGGAAACTCCGTCCCTACCCCAGTCCTAGCCCTCGCCACCTCCACGGGCTCTCCGGATTTACATTCTCTATTCTCTCCTCCAGGTTATTACTGAAATTAAAACCCACGAGAGGCGGGTGCAGAAGCCCAGGTGACAGCAAACAAGGGGCGACTGTCCCCGGGCTGGGGATCGCTCCCGACGGGCAGTGGGGATGAAGCCGCCGTGGGGTGCGGGGAGGCGTTAAAAGCCTTATCGTATGATATTTATTGCTTCTTTCCCCACAAGGCCTGTTACCCATCACAGAAGGAAATGAGATTAAAGTGAAACCATTCGTCCTTGACAAATCCGCGTTGGCTGGTATTCATCTCCGTGTTTTCTTCTTAGTTGCTTACGAATGATTTCCCAATTACTTAGTCCATGGTCTCTTTGATGTTGTTTTTCAGGAACTGAAGTTAATTGACTTGTAATTTCCAAGCCCTTCCTTTTTTTTTGTTTTTTTTTAAAAGTGGAGCCTTTATTCCCCCTTTCTCAGCCTGCCAGCACCCCGCCTGCCCCCCAACCCCCCCCCCCAACACTTTTTAAGTCCTCTAGGGTGAAGTCCATCACACAAAGTTCATTTGAGATCATCCAGTTTATAAAACCTCAGCGTAACCTGTCCTCTCCTCATTCTCCCGTTGACTCTAACCCTTTATCCCTGCTTTCTGCTGTGCCGGCTGCCGATAGCGACGGCCGTTTTGGTGCCCGACGGTGCAATGGGGATAGAAAATCAGTCTCCTGTGACTGGCATGTGAGGATGACGCAGCTACCTTTCATAGTACATGATCTTATTTCTCAGAATCGTTTGAATCTCATGAAAAGACTTATGTAAAAATAATGGGAAGGAAAGCTTACGGTCAGCAGAGGTAGCTTTTTATCTAAAAACACTGAAATAATCTTTTATGGAGATCACAAAATTAGCAAAAAGTGAAGTTTGAAAAACTCAAATACTTTCAATTCCTCTTTAAATACTCCAGCTGGGTTACACACTCAGTTCTTGTCCGAGTCGTGAAAAAATGTGTCTCCCAGCACCAAATATTCACATTTTCTCATTTTTACAGTAGGGAAATTGTTCCCGCACGGAGTTTAATCGGGAAGGCAAGGACTCTACACGGCTCTCCATCCCACGCCATCAGAGAGCCCGCCACGGCAGCTGTGTTCACCGGAGCGCTCACGTGTGAGGGTTTGCAGTTTAGACCTTGCCGTAGCGCTAGACACAGAATTTGATTTCTACCATACCTCAGTACTCTGCTGAGCAGGTACTATAGGAAACGCTGCACCGACCCCGAAGCTGTGACTGGCAGCCATGTCAAGCCTCACGCTCCGCTCTGCTCCGTCAACCCTGAGTTGCTGGGAGGGGAATTTTGACCGCACCGCCGGTCTTACCCCACTTGCGGACGTGGTGACCGAGGACAGCCAGGTAGGACGTAGGTGACGAAACCCTGAAAGATGCCCGGTTAGCTCTTCTGTGCTATTTCACTGTAGTTACAAGATACGGCTAAAGCAACTCGAAGATGTTTTGGTCTCTGGATCCCAGTGAAAGGTTGGCACCTAAAACCAGATGAGGCTCTGGGGCTGTGTCCAGCACAGGACTTAAACCAGTAGCTCCAGAGGGACAGGAATACTGGCAGCACCGGGGACCGGCAAGCCCGGGCAGGAGGACAGAGCCTTCTCAGTCAAACCTGGAGCGTGCAGGGAGGAGGAGAAGGTTGCTGAGCAGGGCACTGGCGGGTCAGCTCTTGGGGCAGGGAGGTAGGGAAGGACCATAGGCAGCTTTTCAGAAATAAGTGCAGTTTTAATGGCCGGATCCACCAAACTGTGTAAATATGCTTCTGGGACAGCCCTAAGATACACTGTCCGTGTTCGTGATGATCTTTTCATGCTGGGATTATTCACCCCTCCTTCAAGCTGTGTTCCCTTTTTGTGGTTACTCTTTGCCCTTTCAAGGTTGAGAGAAAGAAAGGAGAGTAACATCTCCACTTGCCCGTGGGTGTGGAGAGAGGAGAGCAGCTGACCTTCTCTCCCACTCCCTTCCGCTGTGCGGGTTGGGGGTAAAAGAGAGCATTTGCCTGATAGCGTCTGGCTCAGACGCGGTCGGGGAAGGACTCTGGTCTTGGCACTTCTACATTTAAACCACAACGACCAAGCACAACCTGTGCCCACAGCTGATACCACCAGCCAAGGCCAAATGTAGACCCGTCCCATCAGCTGGCTCCTTTATTCACTCAGAAAGTTCACAGACGTCTTTTCAGCTCCTAATATTTGAAAGCTGACCAGCGACTCCTGGGCTCCAGCTCAAAACTTCTCGGCCCTCACACGAAGCTCAGCGTTGATTAAACATTAAGAATTACTCATCTCCCAGTGATGCGCCGACACCAGAAGCTTGCATCTTGCTGCCGTGCAGTTCCACGGGGAGACACACGGCTGCAGCAGAAACACGTGCTTTATTACAGACGACCCCGAAGAACGCCGATAGGCAACGCCGCTTACGGCTGCACGACGAAACGTCTGCAGGACTCTAAGGCTGCAGAACTTACGACCGGCACAAATGCAAACTGATCACGAAGGTGAGAGGTGAGAGGCAAGACGTGAGGCTGCTTTCTCGGGGGAAACGGCACATTCCTGCCGCAGCTGGGGCTCCGCACAAAGACACGAGGTGCCGGCTGGCAGGTATCGGCTGTGACACACGGCTGAAGGAAAGGCTTTATTCTTAATGTATGTTAGCGTAAATTCTGAGCTCTGCCACTCAGGCGAAGCATGGCAATGGAGGCATGTTTGTGTGGCTCTCCTATCCCTATACCTGACTCAGCCAGTCACGTGGATCTGAGCGAACAGCAAATCCTTCCAAAAAAATGAATAAAAGTACCCAAAAGACATAAAAAACAGGAGTCATGATTTCCCTAAGCAGGCATTTTGAAGATTGCCTGAAGGCGCTGGGAGGAAGGATTAGAAGGGAGCATGACCGGAGGAACCTGAGACGGCCTGGAGTGTGACCGGTGAGGAAACCCCGGGGGGAATTCAGAACCGGAGAGGAACTGGCAACTTCTCAGACTCCCAGCCTGGGAAGCCCCGGGCATCTCTGGGGGGTGAAAGACTTTAAATCCTGTAGAAGTGACCAGGCATGCCCAAGTGCTGGCTCATGCAGCCACCACGATCCCGCACAAAAGGAATAGGCAGCCACTGTAGGAAAGGTTTTGTCTTTTAAGAGTGGTGGGGGTGACTTTGGTTCCCTTAAAATCAGTTAATCTTTCTTCTGGAAGAAGAAGTTAAAGGTTGCTTTTGTACAAAGAAAAGGGGGAACTGTTCACCAGGTGATTATCAGCCAACTTCTTACACTTCCTTGAAGAGCAGAAAGGCTCTACTGTCCTTGCCGGATTTTCCCACCACAGGTTTTGCTCCTGAAAAAATGGCCCTGCTTTGCCGAGTTGCTTTAACTGAGCACTTCACTCATTCCCAGCCCTTCCCCCGTGCCGACGTCAGCGTTCTTGCAGCTGAGCCAAGGCAGATCAAGCCCGAGCAGCCACGTCATCCCGTTACTAGGGTTTAGCTACATGAGCTTGTATCTTTGTGCTGACCCGCCTGAACGGGCAGAGAGAGGAGAAGGCGACTCCAACCCTTTTGGTGGCTGGCTGCGCTCCGTTTAAAGCGGTTTGAAACCTCGGCCCACATCGAACGCTCTGACTTTTGTGCCGTTGTTGACACCCGAGCGTCAAGTGGGGCTTTTCCCTGGAAAGTTCCTTGGCTGTTCCTTAGAGAGAGCTTTCAGGAAGGAGAATCCAAGCCAGCAAACCCAGGACAGACCATATGCTATATATATCCTATATGTATTCCCCCAGTGAGGAAACCCTGGAGAGCAACGCAGCGACCAGGATCCCCTTTGGCATGTTAAGTTAAGGAGAATCTGTTTTTTCATCCAACATCGATGTAAAATAAGCTCAAAGTCACAAGACATCTGTCGTGCCTTTGGACTAACATTAGCTGTTTCAGGAGGAAATCTTTTCAAAGCTGGTGGAGGGACTTCACAAAAAACATTAATAGGAGGATTGGAGGATCCACGCACCCCCTGTGTTTTTTTAGATGGAAGTGCTGCACATTCTGTACACCGTCTATATTTATTTATTATACATAAAACTGACCTGTGGTTTTGTGTAAATGTTAAGACTGAGGCAACATTTCCTGTTAAAACACCCCATAAAATATTAGGCAAAACTATACCATACCAAGAAATTCAGTCCTCCCAACACTTAAATGCAAGAGCTTTCAGGGGGAAAAGCCACAGTTCCCAGCAGTGAAGTTGTCTCCCTCTCCCAAACATCCCAAAGACTAAGTCACAATGGGACGATAGCGTAAGTCTCTACTGAAATAAACTCAAGAGATTCCAGTTCAAGCACTACCGCGGTGGCAGAACACCTACTGCAGCGTGTAAATGCTGCGTATCGTACAGCTTTGTTCGATCAGGCATCACCGATACCTGAAGGAATTGCCCTGCAAATTGCAACGGAATGAGAACGAGCTTTACAGTCAACTTTAAGCATTGACCTTTCCTCCTTTGGATCATTTTTTTCAACTTGTTATCAGCCAAGTCCTGATGATCCTGCAAGAAAGCAAAGTTCGTGGCAGTATCTGTGTTCCCGGGCTTCAAACCTTCAGCAACGGCTTTTTCCCGTGACTTCTCTGGGGACAGTGAACTTGAAGCAACCGCTGATCCACGGCAGCGGACGTGGATCATTTTACTTCCCATTTTCCTCCACCCCGGGCAGCTCCAGAGCCTGTCCATCGGCAGGACACGGACCAGAGGCGGCCTCT